CTTGAACTATTGACTTAAAAAAGATTCATAACAGTTGCAACATGTAAAGCACACTTACCTAAACTCACACACATTCATTTACATGTAGAGAGCAAATATGTATAACACAATAACGAAACCACAATGCAGACACATAACATACATGCACAAATCCAACGCACTTACACCTTGTCTGTCTGCTAAGCACACACTGACGCCCTTTGTTTACATTGCAAGCATATACGTAAATTAAATGCACTTTTCCAATCATCTATACACGTGTACATGCGCGTAAGTAAATGTTTATGTGAACATATTTGCAAGAGCTTTATAGTAGTATGTGGCTTAATAAATAAATAAATAAATAAATAAATAAATATAGATATATATATATATATATATATATATATATGAGATATAAATATACATGTATAAATATATATTGTATATAATATGTATACAGGAGGATAATCATTTATAGCAATTTAGTGTGTGTGTGTGTGTGTGTGTGTGTGTGTGTGTGTGTGTGTGTGTACTTATTTATTATAAAGACGCTGCTGCATCTCGTGATATTTCACTATTGTTGTATTTCACTCGTTGTCTCTCTTCACATTTTCTGCCATTTTTCCAAAAAAATTACGTAAACTGCAAATAAATAGTGACTTTAAACTTTGCCTCTCTAAACGCCTGAACATGTGAGAGTTGTACGATTATTTTTTAAGGGTTAAGGGTCTGATCAATAGCTTAGCTATGGTAATCGCGCATTCTCTGAGTTTCACTCGCTCATACCGGAATTGCTCGTATGCCGTATAATAAATTAGCGTGACTTTGACCCTTTCACCGCTACGCCCGTAGACTTTACAGATGTTTTCACTTTTAAATGGAACACCCATAAACATCTCTCCCTCTTTTTTGTCTTTCACCGAAGGATAGAGATTTATTCGTCCTATCAAACATTTGCAGAATGAAGATTGAAAAAAAACCCCATCCTATATACGTATATGTATATATATATATGCTTGATCAGTATCAAATTGTGAATTGATTTATTAAGCGTATTTGTCGAGTTCAAATTTAGCAAAGACATTGGAGAGAATATCGATCAGATGAAATGCTTACAGTTCAATGAACGTAAACTGGCGACATGCCTGCTTTGTGCATTTTTTCCCAGAGATACGATGCAAATTTCCAAGTACGTCTTGCGAAAACAGAAAAAAAAAAAAACCAGCCACGCCCAATCAACGAGAATCGCGTATGCGAAATTACTTTTCTTTCTTTATTAGGGTAAAGGTATGTGGTGACGTATAAAACATTCAGCTATGGGCGAATATAATTTCCCTCCTTGTTTCATCTCAGTCACGCGATGTTCACCCCCTAGAGATGCGCGCCCGCAATCAATGCATTACAGAGAATAGAATTTTTTTTTTTCCTTATTAGCATTCTATATATTGTCTACGGTAACGGCGGAGACTCTGAAAAAATTGTCCATTTTTCTTGTATAAATAAAGCAAAAAAAAAAAAAAAATACTTTACTACATTCTGAGCTTAAGTTAAAAAATAAAACAACGCACATTAAGTTAATTAGTAATAAAATATTTTTATTTAAAAGTAAATATAAAGGATAATCTCATCGTTAAGTTAAGATTTCGAAATAGTTTTGAACATTTTTTCTCCATTATTTCCCATTTAATAATCAGCCATCTGTCGTCAATGATTTATTAATGCCATATAAAAGGCTTGATGTGCAACTAAATCGTGTGCATGTGTGGATGTTGCTTAAGCACATCAAATTCATTTCTTTTGTACTTGCCATCCTAAAGTGTAATCATTTTAATATTTCGTGCGTAACAATGCAAGGATGTCTTACGCGCGCTCCTAAATTTATTGATAAATGACATAAACCTTTTTTTTTTTACAAAATTTTTATTAGAAACGATCGCAATGTTTTTCCTCGAATGTCTGTCCTATCGCATCCTGTCGGAGCATGAAAACCATCTTAAGTATACAAATTCCGAAATGTCTGAAATGGAATCTGGGAAACTTGCCCATAATATAAAAGTTCGGCTGCGTGATATGTGTGAGAAAAGGAAATCGGTTTTGATCGGCCTATGGCGCATTGTACGTGTGATCTTTGATAATGATGAACTCGTTAACGCCTATAAACGCCTAATAAGATCGTAAGCAATGGACGGGAATGGGAATATATTGAAAATTGCGTTTTTGAAAAAGACTTATATGGATCCTTGTACCATTGTAAGGTTCGACGAACACGCATTACGTCCATTACATATGTAATGACAAAAGTTACTTGGACAAAGCAATGTATTTTCTTGAATCCGTTTACGGATGGATACATTTCACGTCACTATTCGCACATAAACAAGATTACTCGTGGCGGGTATCGTTCGGTTCTACGCAAACTTGATGCAAATTCTCTTCTGTTTTTCTTTCTAAAACAAGTTTTCAAACTTTTTTTTTTTTTTTTTTTTTTTTTTTTTAAACTTGTGTGTGCTTAGAGTAATTTCATATCAAAGAAAAGTTGTTTAGTTTTTTTTTTTTCACTCTTCATGCCTCTCTTTCTCTTGGAACAGCCCTTTAAAAAATCAAACTTATCAAAGGACTTTAAAGTTTGTGTTGTTTACTTTTGTTGTTATTGTTGTTGTTGTCGTTTGCTAGTGTATTGTATACCCAATAAGTTTTATTGAGTGGCTTTTACTTTAGTTAATTCTTTCTCTTTTTTTCCGCTCTTTGCCCCCTTTTTCTTTTTCCAATTTTTTTTTCCCCATTTTTTTTTTTTTGTTGCTGCAATTTTAGTTTTTAAGTGATTTGCTAGCAATTGAAAAGAGAAAGGGAAAGTTTGCTTCGATTGTGACTCATTCATTATTATTATTATTTTTTGGTTTCTTTCGTTTAAGATTTCGTATAGAATTAATTGCACTTGGAAATGAGAATGTGTTGCTTACTTTAATGGAAATACGGCTTCATTGCGTTCATGTATTGAATCAAATAATTATTGGCATAATTTCGAATGCAATTTGCTTTCTTTTTATGCTTTTATAATATTTTTTTTTTTTGTTGTTGTTTTTAAATTGAATAAATATTTTCTCTTCTTCGTTTTGAAGAGCTTATAAATAATTTCATTATCTGATTTTTATTTCATTCATTTCTTTTGTTTCTCTCTCTCTCTCTCTCTCTATCTCTCTCCCTCTCTCTCCCTCTCTATCTTTCTCTCGCTCTCTCCCTCCCTTTCTCTCCCTCTCTCTCTCTCTCTCTCTCTCTCCCTCCTTCTCTTTTTCTACTCACAAAAAAAAAAAAACTCAAAATTAAACTTTAAAACAATTAAAACAGAAGCACGCTGCTACTGCAGTCTATGGCACAATTGTGCTCCGTAACTATGTAAGTTTACATTGCATTGGCATTCGGTCCTGCCGCTGCTCCGCCTTACTTGATCTATTGTAAATTAAAAACAATGCTTAAGGACTTGTATTCACAACGTTTTCATAACTAGCTAACCAACTAACAGCGGGATGAAAAATAAGTTGCTATTAATTGTTAAGAATGCATTCGCCATTTCGACCAACAATACGTATCAATCGCTATTTCATATTTTCCAATTTTATCAGAAATTTTGATCGCAAAACCGTTTCTTTTTCTGCAAGCTTGTTCGACACTATGTGCAGAGAATATATGCAAAAAAAAAAAACCAAAAAAAAAAAATAATTTTCGATATACCCGGCACTCGCTTAATTTTCACATTGCATTTCTAGCTATAATGAAAAATAATGTCTCTTGTGGCGTAAAAATGTGGCATATTTCGTAATGCTGTTGTATTGCTTCGCAGCGTTTTATTAAGAAATCTTCATTCAAGTGGTGGGGATTCAAAATTCATTTCAAACCAACTGCAATCAATTTTTTATTTTTTTTTCATTCCTCTCTTTTTGATGCTATTTCATAATATTATTAAATCTCTAACCACTGTTAAGTAGCACAGATTGTGTTGGAAAAAAAACGTGAAAAACAAAACAAAAAAAAAAAAAAAAAAATGGACAAAAGCGTAGGATTTATGTATATAACATACCGTCAGGCTGATTCTAATGCAAATATTTGTTGCATAGTTTTGAAAAGCGAGAATGAGTCGGTGCTCTCGACATTGCCCCGTTTTATGATTATTATTATTAAAATTTTCCCCTTGCTTTTTTTTTTTTCATTTTATAATTCTAATTAGAATTAAGAGTTATTCTGTTTGAGTTAAGCCTCTCATGTGCTGTTTGCATCGCATCCGCCATAGGCATTATCATCAACACAACTGAGGTCTCCGTGGCGCCCTGAGTTGTTAAGGTCATAATCACCTTTATAGTTCCATGCATACCTTGGTTTGGTTAGTGCAGTATTGCAATATTAGTTGCTTTCTATTATTCTTCTGTATAACGTAAGGTTCCTGAAAAAAGTGAAGGAGGGCGAACGCTTACTTTGTATATATATATACATATACATATATATATATATATATATATATTTATATATATTTATATTTTTCGTTCCTTGTTGACAATGTTAACAATTTTGTATACGATTATCATTATGGCTTAACCATGTGTTTGTATATCGTTTGCGTGTTTATGCTCGCATATGTATGTATGTATGTAAGTGCATATACGATGCCTATTCTGCCCTTTAACACGTTTCTGAGCAGATGTCTGCAATATTAAGCGATGTTTGGTTTAACCTCAACATTTGGCCGCATTCTAGATTACTTAAGTAATTCAAGAGAAAGACAACAAAATTTATTCTCAGGCACCCTTCCGTTGTTTCTTCTCATTGTGTGTATTTTTCTAATTTTATTTTTTTTTTTTTCCCCCCTTTCGAAAAAACTTTAAATTGAAATTTTAATCATATTTTGAGGTCCTTTTTGCTGCACTTGATGTACATACGCAATTTTGATTTAAATTAAATTTTAATGAAATTATTTCAACTTTTCCCATTAAAAATATTTGAACCAACAATCTCTCATTATTTTCCAGATGGGCTGTTTCAACAGTAATGACTCGTGAGAATTTAATACCACGTACGAAACAGGATACAGAAGATGAACTTATTGCTGCCTTAATACCATTCTGGGATATGGCCAATCATCGTCATGGTCATATCACTTCTTATTTCAATATGGAAACGTGCCAAATGGAAAGCACTGCACAGGATGATTTTAATGAAGGCGAACAAATTTTCATACATTATGGGGACCGTTCAAACGCTGAACTTCTGATACACAACGGGTAAGCGAATATAAAATTAAATTAAAATATCATAATTAAAAAAATGTCTAAAGGGAAACAATAAAAATGGCGCAAAAAAAAAAAAAAAAAAAAAAAAAAAAAAAAACAAGTTGGTGCAGAAAGCATGGTTCGACTTTTGCACGAGATAATAATAATCCGTTGGCACGTCTTCACTAAATTGACGTGTTAACGTAGAACTTTAGTTTTTGGTTATTGTACGAATATCTGTCTCTTCGATGCGTTCACCCAAGGACGAACGCTATTGAAAATGGCTCAGATTGATTCACTTTTTCGACCGCCCTTCATATAACACCTTATTTTGATAAGTCGGTATATGCAAAATTATTGTAATACCCAAAATTTCGCGACAAACCTTGCTGAGTAATATTGAGAGAACTTCAAACTTTGCATCGGATAGGGCAATTTTTAACCCTCTCTCTTATAATCGTTTCTACGGAACGCAAATTTTTATATGGCGAAATTAGTCCAATTCTCAATACATCTTGACGAAAATTCGGTTATAATAATGACTTGACATAAAAATTAATCTTGTTGAATTTGGATCACGTAGGTATATTTTTTTGACCCCATCTTGTATAAGGGTTTTAATGCTAAATAACGCTTTATAGAGGAAAAACGCCCAATTTGTAATATTTTATGATAAAGTTTGGGTTAGGAAGAGTAATTTGATATAAAACTTAAATCTGTCGAATTTGGATCAAGTGGGTCTACTTTTTGAACGTCTTCGCATACAAGGATTACAATGAAGTAATAAACTCTTATAGGCCGAAAAGGTCTAATTTTTCATACTCTATGATGAAAATTGGTCTACAGCAGCAATGTAGCATAAAAATTAATCATATGGAATGTGGTTCACATAGGTCTATTTTTTAGATCCTAACCTATATAAGGATTATCATGAAAAGCAAGCTTTTATGTGGGAAGAAAATCTCATTTGTAGTTTTTAATAAAATAATAACTGTTTTGAGTTTGATAAATTTGGAATCACATCATGTGTTGATTTGGGCATCCTCCTCCGATATGCGTCGTTGCGATTTTTGATTGAGTAGGTGTATTGGGCGAAGTTATGCAGGGTATCTTAATATTCGGTTTTGTCCGACTATAATCTTCTTACTTGCTTGCATACTAATAATTGTCAAACAAATCCAAAAGTGAAAATTTGCTCCCTTGAAAGTGTTGCTCCTGAGAGATTTTCACTATTACATAAAATAAGGTTTTCAAATCCTTTTCTCCAACATATATATATGTATATATGTGTGTGTATATATCTTCAACAGTTTCAATATTAATTTTTTTTTTCTTTCTTCCATTATTTATAACTCTATCTGCGAATGTGCTCTTGGCCTTATGTAAAGTTTCATTAATTCCGTTAATCCAAAGGATAGCATTGCCATTAAATTGGGCCTCAGTCAATCGGATCCATTATATGAGAAACGTTCACAGTTATTGCAATTGCTTAATATACCAAAAAATGGTGAACTGAAGGTATTGCCAGCACCTGAACATATATCGCCAGAACTGTTGGCATTCGTACGTGTTTTTAACATGAATGAAGAACAATTACAGCATTGGATATGTTCGGAAAGAGCAACTGATTTATTGCATATTGATTGTGCTTTGGAAACATCGTTAGAGAGCAAAACATGGCAATATTTACAAACACGTCTAATGCTGCTGTTACGTGTATTCCCCACCACCTTGGAAGCAGATGAAACGCAATTAGCTGGAGTGAAATGTGGTAAATTGCAAATGGCGCAAATACCGGTCATGATCTTGGAGTACCGTATACTGGAGAAACGCATACTGGCGGCGGCATTGGACTACGCCAAGCAAAGGACAAAGGCCTAAGGCGTAACGGACAATGTAATAAATGTGCCAAGCAAAAGCATAATGGCATATAAAGGTTTTATCAAGCTTGGCGTGTTTCATCATTCAAATTGTTCTAGGCAATGTTTCATGCTTTGTGTTTTCTATCATTTTTTTTATTTTTTTTTATTTTCATTTCTACTCAAATCGTAACTCGAGTGGCCATACACAGGTATATTATTGTAACCGCTGTGAGCGAACAACTACAATACTGAAAGGCTCAATTTATATGAATCTTTGAATGTATGAATATATATATATATATATATATATATATATATTTATTTATATATTCTCTGATGTTTTGATTAGCATTTTTATTAACTTTATACTAACAAAAGTGATTTAATTATATAAAAATATACAGAATTCTTTTGCCAACTAATAATAAAAAAAAAGCATCTGGTGTTTTATTTGCTGTTTTTATAACTGCGTAAATGTGAAAAGTTTATATGGTTTTTCATTTAATAATTCAGATAAACCGTCGAGTTAGGTATGTGAGACTTGGTACGAGGCGGAGTTATACAAGTGGACGGGATAAGCACGCTCATATGTGCAACTAAGCTAACAACTAATAACTTTTAAAATGAAAGAAATTTTCTTACCTGCATACTACTACGGCGTATACAGATATTTGGGTCAGGAAAAGGAGACTACAGATTGGAACAGCGGAACAGCGGAACAGCGAAGAATGGAATGGGAGGCTCGCCTGAATATTGTACGTAGCGTATGAATAAAGAAGAAAAAATTGAAACTTGCAATCGTCAATGAAGTGAGGTAAGGCGAAATGTTCAAACGATGAGAACAGCGAGAAGAGGCAGAATTTTCAACTTATTTTTCAATTTTATTGATTTATTTACATTATATTAATTATTAAATGGCGATAATTGAAATATGTGCTATCGTTTTTTTTTTTTTTTTTTTTTTTATAATAGCAACAATGAGAAGAACAACATTAAATATTATAATAATAATAAAACAATATTATTTGTTGAAAAAAACGTCACATTTTTAATTTGTTGATTTGCTTTTATTTTCATCGTGAAACGATTTACAAAAGTGCACAATAACCCCGTTTAAAACATTTATCGAAAAAGTACTTGTAAATGAGTTCTCTTGCAAAAAAGTGCCAAATTTATTTGCCAGCGACGACGTTTGGTATATTTATACTTTTGGCTCATAGCCAGGTGTATGAAAATATTTATTTCTCTCATTTCTGTTTTCATTTTTTTTTTTTTTTTCGCTTTCAAAAATATCCCTAAAAAACAAAAAGTTTGTCACTGCTTATACATCTATCCTTGAGGTCCGTTGCCAGAATCTAGTCAACAAAAAATCTATGTAGGGCAAGCTTTTTAATGCACATATTTTAAAAACAATCTATGCATGTACTCGATTTTTTAATAGAAATTTTTTTATTAAAAAAAAAAAAAAACTACGGGAGAACATCTATTATATGGGCTATAAGTTAAATTTTACATAGCGGAATTGAAAAGAAAACTAATACAAAATAAAACAATAGGAAGTTATTTAAAATGTTTTCTAAAAATAATGTCTTCTATTATCTGGTTCAGTACATAGTAATGCGCTCTCTTTTAAAGCGTTAAATTTATTCATCTAACGATAAGCAAATAAACGCATATTGATTAGGATAATACGCTTGTTTCTGAAAATATTGAGATATCGCAGTGTGAATGTCATAAACAAATTGTAAACCATTACAATGCTTTCAGTGAATAAATTCACAAACGTGAATGTATTTAGAATTGTGTATATGTGTATCTAGTCGCCGAGTCTACCACAACCTATCCTGCGTCGGGGTTTCCCAACACCTGTTTTGGTGTAATGAAATAAAGGGTAAGTAAATACAATTCCTTTGGTATGAACCTCTTAGGAGTGTCCGTGAGCAAAACTACAGAACCTCCCCCACATCTGACGAACTAGCTAGCTCAGTTATGGCACGTACGAATTTCTGTTAAGAAAAACCGGGTTGCACGCAATTTACGAGCCATTGCATGTTTCTGCTCCAACGAATTTGCCCCATTTTCAACAACAAACGTGCATTGAAAACTTCTATCATATTTCAAGTCGACATGTTCATTTTTTGCAACCAAGCGAGTGCCGCAGACGAACAGACATGGCTTAATCACGTTGATCAAGCATATGTGAGTATAAGTGAGTATAACTCCTCAAGGTCACATAGGTCTTCATGTACCGAAACTATTGCATATAATATTATACCTGTTATCAAAAGATTAAAGCTTGCAGATATTTGTCTTGCATTCGCCAACCGAAACCATAATCTAAGGGAGAAGTTAAATAATTTTGAGTTTTTGTCAAAGTAAAATTTATTTGAAATTCATCCAACTTGGATATTGTTTCATATTTTTATGGTAAATATCAAGTGATTGCATAGTTTCTTGTCTTTTTTTTTAAGCCAAGTTGATGCACATTTTTCTTTTAGTTTTATTAGACATCACTCGATAGGTGTTAATATTGACTGATAGCCTTTGGCATTCCTATGAAGTCAATTTTCCACTGTGTTAAGAGTATTAAGAAGAAAGCGAAAGAAATGGTAATCGGACGAGGCGATGTCTAGATTATACCATGAATATATCGAAACTTTCCAACGAAGTTCTTTCAATTTTTGCGCAGCTATAAATAGCCGGGCATTTTTATCTTTCCGATTGACCGATTCTGGCCGCTTAATATAAATTGCTTAATTTAATTTTAACTGCTTTGTTTGTAATAATTGTTGAGCGTAGCGAGTAAAATCAATTGTCATTTCAACTCCTCGAAACCAAACGCGCCATCTTATGTGAGGTGGGTTTGATCACTTTCGTATAGATTAGTTCGTCATAGACAATCTATTTCCCAAATATTCGTTGTATCTCACTTACATGTCATCATCCGCTGGTAATCGTTTTAAGAATGCCTCTGTTTCGTTTCCATTTAACAGCGATTCGCAAATGGAAATTTGTTTCATTTCAGTTTTGCGATGTGATAACTTCACGTTCAACTAATGAATTGTTCGTGTAATTTATGGATCGTATGATTTGTATTTCTGAACGTTATATATGGATGAGTATAACTACAAAAGCGAAAAAAATATATATTGATGTTTGCCGTATCCGCCTTTCATGTCACTTTCTTGTTAATCCCTCTATTTTCGTCCAAAAGGATTCTAGTATTAATTGTTTGCGATTACAGAGCAAAATTTCCCCAATCGATTGCCCTCAAACTGGTAAAACAACAATACAGAAGAGTGCTATACAATCATGTTGGATCGAGTGGATGCTAAAAATTCGGAAGCACGACTCGATCTCGAATGCTTGATTAAAACCATTAAAAGTTAGTTTAAAAGATATTAAGAAAATATATTATTAACAAAGTTAACTGAATTAACGGCGAATTAACAAAGATGAGCGTGTGAGAAATAATTCTTGTTCAAGAGCAATTACCGCCATTTTCGGAAGAAAAATGTAGATTGTTGCCAAAACAAGAATACAAAATAAATTTAAAAAAATTATTGCCCATGAAGCACAAATGGCCTGTGTATAGAATCGCCCGAACCAACAGCCTAATTCCATCTCGTGTTCGCCCACTGGCCTCAGCAGCAATGCAAAAACGTACACCCTCAGCCATCATCAGGCTGTATTTGTTTTGTAAATTAGAGAAGAATAACAATAGGAATGAAAAGCTATCTTTCCAACTATTTTTACAATTGTGTTGAAAACGAACAAAAAAGAAAAAAAAAAAAAAAAAGAAACTTTTTGTCAACTTAAACTTATTCTACATTATATACATAAACAAGGAAAACAAGTAATATTGTCTAAACAAATTGAAGAATATTTTTGGTCTTTCAATTCTTTTTTTGCTTCTCTTCCTTTTTCCTCTTTCTTTTTATTTCTCTGTTTTTTTTTTTTTTTAGTTTTATTTTGTTATTGTTCTGTCCAGGATTTTCAATGTGCCAGAAAGTCATGGCACATGGCAAATGCTTTAAAAATGTGGAGGAAGGCTTTCAATGCATTTTTCATTCTCGAATTTCATTTCATTTAATGTAATAACATAATAAAATGCCACATAAAGTTAAATTCATATTTAAAAGAAATCTTAAATTAAACTTTTTAAATATAAGCGTTTAATTGGATAATAATTGTTGATTTTTAAATTCTTTTCTTCAATGAATAAAAGTTTTTTTTTAATTTGTTTATTTTTTTTTTTTATTGTTTTTCACTTTCAAAGCACTTTTCAATTTCGTTTTCTTCACTTTTAATTTTCAGCGATGTTAATGTATTAAACAATTTTTTTTATTATATTTGTTTTGATTAACATCAAAAATCTATTTCCAATAGGTTATGGATGCACGGACTGATTGGTGATAGAAGAATAGCGCCGTGTACAAGTGCAATAAAAGATAATTTCAACTATACAGTGCAGTGATGTGTTGCGAGATAAAACATTTGATATCTTCGATGAGAGAAATTATGTAAAGCGTATTGGTCCACCATCAAGATTTATGGGAAATCGCATTGAATGAACTGACCTGAATGAGGGCGAATGCAACAAAAAAAAAAAAAATTTGATGAAATGAAGATTGGGTGAACGAAAGACAAGAAAGGTATGGCGACTATTGTCCTGAGTGTTGCCACAATACAACTAGTTTAAGTAAAAAAATGTCCGTCGCACCAAATGAGGCATGAATGAAACTCTAAGAGAGATTCATGGGCAAGAAGGAATATTAAGAAAATTGAGTTTATTTAAGCAATTTCTGAGGGTGAAAGTAGCACAAGAAGAAGATGATCAACAATATGTTTGCAAAGGACGAAGAGCGCTGTAACATATGCACATCGACATTAACTTAAGTCAAGCATCAATGAACAAGTGTTCACGGTTCAAGATACATGCTACAAAAGCAAGAAATTGTGCAAGAAATGAAAGCAACGAACACCTACGTAGCACAAGCATAAACACCGAAAACGGTAATCACAGTTCAAATCTGAAATGCTACAACTATGGTCGGTAGGGATACGATGCACCATATTGCTGAGTGAAAAGACGGGAACACAAGGATTAACAGAATAATAATAACGGTATAAAAGGATTACTTGCCGTAATAAATGAGATTGGTGGGTGTGTCAACATCATCTAAGCAGAGTATTTGCAAAAGGCAAAGTTAGTCGAGTCAAAAGAGTTGCATTGCAATACTCGAACGAGCTAAGACCGGAATGAGAATTAAGGCGTCGTAAATATAAATTTCTGTAAATAATTTGTAAATAGATCACCTCCTAAGAATTATATATATAATCTATATTATCCTAAAAATTACAATTTAAAAAGATCAAAAAATGTAAAATGATCGCTGAACGAAGATTCGGTAAAAAATTGAAAATTTCTTTGCGAAGTGGCAACGGTATGAAGTAAGATAATCAAGCCTTTGGTTGTTACTTGAAGCTAATCGAAATTGTACGGCAGTTAACGGTGCGATATATACCGTAACAGAATGGTATTGCTGTTCGTTTCAGGAAAACGTTGGAAAGGAAAAGTGTACGCTGACTGGTGCAGGCGTAGATAACTCATTATGGGCTGAAGTAGTCTGCACAGCTGCATTTTTACGTAATGGGGCACTAACTAGATCAGTAGAAGAAATAACACCTTATGATATAAAGCGTAACAGAAAACCTACAGTAGCACATTTAGAAATTTCTAAACATCTATAGGAGTTGCTTCAGATAAACGCCTGTGAAATAAATTTGAATCATAAAGTAAAGAATACATTATGGTCGGTTATTGTAAGACGAAGCGAAAGCATATTGATTGCTCGGCAAAGTTACTCAGCAGTTAATAGTGGGTAGAGATGTGAATTTATTGAGCCTATAAAGTCAACAAATATG